CCTTGCATATTAAATCATTTCTAAATCTCTAGGGCTTAATATTCACCTGATATCTTTAAAGCTTTGTATTTCTGGAGAGCAGAACCCAGAACAACATGTCCCATGGTATGTGACTGGCCTAAAAGACATCCTTCCTTGGTTCTTCAGGCACTCAAGATCCATCAGATCTTGTATTTAGCATACAGCTCTCAACAGCAGATTTGCAAACTTAGCTAAAACAGGCTGCAGACAAATGTCAAGTGTTTTCATATGCCTTATAAGGAGAGACACATGAACTAGCATTTCGTGTAGCAATTTTTGACTTGCCTTCTCAAATTCCACTCCTGAGCACCATCTTCTGCCTACTACCTTCAGTAGGCTCTGCAGAGCTTTTATACTAAGATGCACACATACAGCTCCTTAAGAAACTGTGAATTCACAAGTACTGGCAGGCTGACCTGCTGGCAAGCAGTTCTGTAGAGAAGGACCTGGGTGTCCTGGTGGACAAGTTAACCGTGAGTCAGCAATGTGCCCTGGTGGCCAGGAAGGCCAATGGTATTCTGGGTTGCACTAGGAAGAGTGTTGCCAGCAGGTCGAGGGAGGTGATCCTCCTCCTCTACTCTGCCCTGCTGAGGCCACAGCTGGAGTACTGGGTCCAGTTCTGGGCTCCCCAGGACAAGAGAGACATAGAGACATACAGCTACTGGAGCAAATCCAGCAAAGGACTACTAAGATGATGAAGGGACTGGAGCATCTCTCCTATGAGGAAAGGCTAGGAGAGCTGGGACTGTTCAGCCTGGAGAAAACTGAGGGGGCATCTTATGAATGGGTACAAGTATCTGAAGGAGGGGGTGCAAAGAGGATGGAGCCAGATTCTTCCAGTGGTGCCCAGTGGCAGGGCAAGAGGCACCAGGCACAAACTGAAACACAGGAAGTTCCATCTGCATCTAAGCAAAAATTTCTTTCCTGTGAGGGTGACAGAGCACTGGAACAGGTTGCCCAGGGAGGCTGCAGTGTCTCCTTCCTTGGAGATTTTCAAAAGCCGTTTGTACACATTCCTGTGCACTGTGCTCTAGGTGACCATGCTTGAGCAGGGGGGTTGGACTAGATGATCTCCAGAGGTACCTTCCAATCTTGGCCATTCTGTGATTCTGTGACTGCTGTGGGACACACTTGACAAAAGCAAACTCCTATTTGCCTCATGGTTCTGGTCTTCCCTCTCCCCTAGTAAAAAACTACAGTGAGAGCTCACTGAAAAGACTTGTTTAGTATTGTTTTTCCCCTCTATTCATTTGCAAAGACCCAGGAGTGTCTTACCAAACAGCGCCACTATCAGTGCAAATGTGGACAGATTTTTTTTCTTTTAATAGTTTAATTTGTAATGTTCAAATAGGTGAAATAAAAGCGAACTTGATCTTGAGATAATTCATGGTTGCTGTACTAAAAATCATGATTTTGGCAACATTAAGAAAAAAGAAAGGTCAAGCTCACCGAAGTCCTTCATTCTCACCCTCTGATTAGAAAAATTCCGTTCTCATCACGTGGCAGTTACATTTTTTAGGTAAATACAATACAGACAATCTAGAAACTTTGCCCATTTAAATTCTTCACAATCTTGTCCTTCCTTTCCTGACACTGGCCCTTTAGCCACTGTACTGCTGTAGATAAGGCTAGAAATCACTGCCTGTAGATCTAGAGTGACATGCACTCTAATTTATCTGTTCACAGATATGTCAGAAAACATAATATATTTGTCCTAGCCAGTTGTTTTCCCATAATGTCACTTTTCCTATTTCTTATGCTTCTGTGATTTAGTTCTCTCTTTGCCTGCCTTTTTTTCCTTTGGGGTGGGCAGAGATGAGGCAGAAGAACCAAATTTACCACAAAATTATTTATTAGAGCTCATTATTTCTGTACAGGATACAGTCATTTGAGAAAAGGTTTAAAAAAAAGAAAAAACTCTATAAAACATATAGATATTCTTTCATGTTAAAAAGTAAAACTTCTCACAAGCATAGGAGATAGTAGGAATGGACATTCCTTCCCTTTTAACCTACTGAAAAGCAAAATAAAATGGACAGCCATTTAGGGAGCTACATATTTCACTTAGAGCCTCTTCAAAACTCTTCTATAATTTTGTATTTCTGATGAACATAACTGAGAACAACACACATACGCAAAGAGAATTAGTGTGACAAAGCTGGCTATATCAACGCTTCCCAGCTCTCCCAGTTGCTCTCATTGTCAGGCCAGTGCCTGCAGCCACAAAGGTAGGAACCTCTACAGCTCAGCCTGTACAAGAAGGGAGAATATCCACCGAAGAAAATTAACCTATCGCATCCCTACAAATTATGTTAAGGTATTTATTGTTAGGTCCAAAATCACCTAATACATCTCTGTACACAAACAATGCTAAACATGTAATATTTAGGATTTTAGTTTCATGTTAGAAAAGAAAGACCATGCTAAGAGATACTGAAACACAGAGATTGCAAATACTTTGTAGAAACAGAGGTCCTTATAATGCTGAGAGCAGTGTTGCTGATGAGTTCTGGTAGGCATACAATTAAGAAGTCTTTCCTCTCTTTGCTTCTGCACCAGAGAGTCTTTAGCAACTGTGAAGATGAGATGTGCAGTTTCCTCTAGTATTGACTTGCCATTAAGCCTTAGAAAATTTGGTTATATCCGGTTCACGTTTCTCTTTTTGTTAAGATGCACGGACGTGCTTACAGGTCCACAGTGAGCACTAAGAATGTTCAAGCATTTTAACAGAAAGCACAGGGAATATATTGCTTTTCTACTGTGTTTTCTTTCCAAAACTTTAGGATGGAAAGATTAATGAAGTAGAAAATTAACATTGCATTTATATTATCATTTCAGACCACAAATTTGAAGAATGTCATATAAAAGCAACTACTACTTTGGAGTTTCCCAAACCATAACATTCTCCAAAAGATTCAGAAACTATATTGTCAGTGATTAACAAAAAGTATCTTAACTCACCATTTTTTGGGTTTTGATAGTAGTTTATACTTGCTTAATTTTACCCGCCACTCCAAGATACTTTTACAATGCTGACATACTCCATCATGAAGCTTGGCATTTATTTTCTGAAAAGAAAAAAGACAGAGAAATATTTTTGTGATTCAAGTGTTTGGGAAGATGCTAGCTGATATTTAAGTAAATATTTCATATATGTTTGCTAGTAGTAAATTTCTTCAGCAGAAAGAGCAGCAAGGTAGTCTTCTTGAAGTATCAGTAATAAATAATAAAAGGTGGGGGTTTTTTTAATTATAATTATGAGGTCAATTCCATCACTAGATTACAGAACAGATTTCTTTAAGCAGAAATGGGTTCGGAAATACACTGTTTTCATTCAAAGATGACAGCTTGCAAGACATTTAACTTGCTATTGCTCAAGCTGTTATTACACAACATAAAGTGGGTTGCCTCAGGATTTTTTCTCAGAGCACAATAAAATAGAATTTGCACATCATCTGCTGTCAAACCACTCGTCTCTTTCACCATAGCCTTCTCTGACTACAAAGTAATGTGGTTTTGTTCTCAAGTGTGTTAAGAAAATCCCCAAAATGACTAGTCATTTAAATCGCAGTATATCTTCCAGAGAAGGCAAAATTTACTGTAAGATCTCCTGCAACGTTTTGTGTTTAGTATGCTTGAGAAGAGAAAATGTCAACCAGCCACTACTATTTGTACAAGAAAAGTTATTCAGAGAATAGGAAACCATTCCATTGCCTTAAAGAACACGCAACATATACAGAGTCAGTCTACTTTTTCTCTTCTTTCTCCAAAAGTTCCAATAGTAATTTTTAACAACAGTAACTTTTAAGAGTAACTGTTCCCAAAAAAAGCTCCATTGTGCCCATTTTAATATAATTTAAAAAACAGCAATTGTACCAAAATTACATCATTCTCATAGTCTAAAAGAACATCTAATGCTTAGAATACCTAGGAGTTCTTTGGGACAGAGTCTGCATTAAGCTTAACGTTTAGATTGTTCTCTTACAGATAAGTCAAAAAGTTCACATATGCATACAGCAGTTTTTGAAGTAATTGTCTACTTTTATGACTCAGATCTTCTTACTACTCTACAAAACACTACTTCAGTATAATAAAGAAAAGAACAAGCCTACTTTTAAAAATATAGTCTTTATTCTATTCCCAAAATAGTATGTGGAGAGGAAACAGTACTTAGGAGTGAGACCACACTATGGGACTTGGTTTCACTATTTCTATCTCTATTAAACTTCAACCCTGTAGTATGAATTTTCCCATGCTGCGTTTACCTGAAACTGTGGTGCTTTTTGGCCGTTTAAGTAAAAAGACAGTTATCTTTCTTTCAAATGCGTCAGTGTGTTAAAAGAAAAAAACAACAACAACAAACCACAGGTTTTGCAAAACACTTGAAATGCTCACACAGCTATAGTTCTGATATCAGGAATGTATTACAAATGAAAATTTTCAAAAAACACAAATATGTAGCTAACCTAGAAACTTTTTGAGGGAAGAAAATCATTGGTGAGTTCTCACAGATATTTGTTAAAAGGCTGACAGTTCAAACTTCTGTGAGCACTGACTGCTTCATTCTTTCAAAATGCACACAGTTTGAAGAAAAGCCTTCTTTTCAGTGCTTCAATAGCACAAAGTAGGACTCCAAGTTGTATAGCCTGAATAAATATCTAATAACCTGCAAATTAGCCTGAAATTCCCCAGTTGTCCCTCTTGCTCTACTGATTTGCATTAATTAGTAATGCAGGAGGGGAGCAGGACACAAACGCTGTAATCTGTATTCCCAGAAGCACTTTAGTGTAATTAACTATTTTTAGAATTGTTAAGAAGCCAAATAAACTTCAAAAGACTGCAATAGTTTGAGCCGAAGACAGCTAGTTGTTGCTAAGTGATGTCTTTAAAAAGGGAGTTAGCCTTCTTGCTGATAACTAACTAGTTTCCAATAATACACGGTGGCATCACAACTGGAGACAGAAGCCCGGTTACTAAGTGATGACGCAGATAGGCTCAACATGCCACATACTTGGAACGCAAGAGTCCACGCTCAGAAGGACTGCATATGGTACAAGCGATACAGAAGAATGGGAGGTGAGAGTAAATACCTTTTTTGAAGTTTGTCAGACAGGTGGCGGATTAAAAATGCTTCTTAAAAAAATCTACTAAACATTAGTTACGAAACAAAGAAATAAGAATAACCCTTATTAGCAGAGCTTTACAATGCCTTTTTTCCCCAGTGCTTATCATATGGCTCCTGAACACAGTGAATATTTTTATCACAGACAATTAAAACAAAGGCCATCCCAAATTCCTAAGAGGCCTTTTCATATTACTCATAGTATAAGTCTTCTCTTTGCATGACCATACCAACATTCACTTTCCCAGAAGACTACTATATGGCATAAAGGCTATGTTATTGGGACTCTGCCATTTTTGCTTTTACAGGGTGCATATGTTTAATAACAAAGCCACGAGTTCTCATCTGATTTCCTCATCCTAGAGATCAGTGCTCCTTCTATATTCTTTAGCATGCTATAGCACCACTACAAAAAAAAAAAAAGGCTTTAAGATGAATAACACACAATAAGCTATAAAATAAAAGAAAATAAAACAAAGTTAACGTAATTCAGTTTCAGCAGCAGTTCCATTAGCCACTTAAACAAAAAGTTAATCTCAAAGTTGGTCTCCGATTATTTAGACACAGTCCATTTTAGATTATTTAGACGTACTGTCCATTTTCTTGGTATGACCAGTGACACTTCAAATATTCAGTAAAAAACTAAAGAGTACTGACCAAAAAAACTAACAGCTTACACACTAAAATCATGAAGAGAAACGAATTCAGTGTTATCAAGCCAAACTTCTACTTATCATGTTGAGTCACTAAGAGACATTATCATACTGAAGTGCTAGATGCCACTTTTAAGTCAAGCCGGTGGCTTGACTAAGCCACTAGCTTCTGAGAGATAGTGCAAAGAAGGCAAAGATTCCCTATGGGAACTGCAGAATAATGCAATTTCAGTAGAGGACAGTGCTGTAAGGATGAAACCGGCTTGTATTCAGGTGGATTTTTGAGTAATAGCAGAAGTGGTCACTAATTTAGATAGACTGGAGAGCTAAGGGGCCAGTTTTATCCCATGTACAAAGACTGGAGAGCTTGTCAAGCATTGCTGTGATACTGTCACAGCAAGTATGCAAGGATGCTCCTGCTTCTCGGTTCTCCACCAAAGCTCTGTGTACCTCTCCTGTGCATGGCATTTGTGAAGACTCACAGAGGAAATTTAATGTGTAGAATAACTAGGCTGAGAATAAAGATAAGATGCAAAAATGAAACTCAAAATTCAGTTACAATGATTCCTAAAATCAGTAACAAGAAGAGGAGCAGTTCCTACCCTCCCCTACCCACTGATCTTGAAATGTATTTTGTATTAGAACTCACAGCAGCCACAATGTGCTAACAATCCTCCTTCAAAAATTAAGACACGTAGCAGATAAAGAGAGAGGCCTTTATCAAGGTTTAAGATAATAAATACAGAGATTGTCCTCAAAAATCTAGACTCAGGGAATCTCAGGGTGAAATAAAGATGGCATAGCAGTACAAGGAAATTCTTCTAAGTATTAAATAGAATAATTGAGTATACAACACTAGTAATTACAGTTATTTAAGCTACTCTTCAGGAAGAAAATATTTTGTTAGAATGCAGTCTCAAGCAGATATAATAAAATGTCTTGTTAAAACATGAACATATATTTGTAATAGAAGCTCACGATTCATAACAGGAAGGATGCTGTAAATGCTGTGGTATTACTATTAAAAGAATAGGATACCAAATTAGACTGCATCTATGATAAAAATCACATTTATGTTTTAACTTAAGATCCTCACGTAGGCAGAATGTCTCCTGGACTTATCTCAGCACAGTCAACTGTAGGCTCACAAGTCCTACTTAGAAAGGTGAAGAAACTACATATGATATCTGCTCAGAAGATAATGATTGAAAGAAAGACTACAGCTTTTAAGTTCTAATTTCCTCCTTTTAACAGGCACACATACAGCACAGTTTCTTCCTCCCCTTCAGCAATTCCTTTATTTTTCATTTGGTGTGGCACAACAATTATTGGCTCAACATAATAAAACGTGAGAAAGACTAGGACTCTCACCACCATCACTGGCTGTTGATTTAGAAAGTCAATAGAGAAGGACGGATTGATGAAAAGTGACCAAGCAGGAAGCATTTGCCAAGCTTAACCTTAATTTGCATGTCTTATAAACTTAGAGTTTATTTTGCTCAGAAAAACATGATTCTTAAACGTTACTATTACGGAAACAAGTTGATTTGCAATTTCCTGTGATATTTACACTAAATTCAACAACTTTCTTTTTGACAAAAGGCATTAAATCACTTTCAAAAGCAAAGCATGCTCAAAAAAGCCGTCATCCATAATTAAAGATTTGAATCAACTGATTTTTCAGAATTTTAGAATTCATAAAAGTACATATGAGAATGAGCTCTCCCAACAAGAAGGAAGATAAACTTTCCTGCTTTCTCCGTTCCCACTCAGAATGATAAAGTTATTGGTTAAAGCAAGGAAATCCTCCTGATACTCACTTTTTCTGCTACTGTTCACTTTTTATTTTATCTATTGTGTAAATTCTCAAATATTCATTTTTTTTTTTATTTCATCCACTCAAAAGCTCGGTTTCCTTTTAATAGTTTAAAAAAGAAAGTTAAGGTAAACATAGACCTGAACAAAAGGTGTTAACTTCATTTTCTATTAAAACTTTTTTACCCAGGTACTTACCTCTCCTACAGGAAGATGGGTAAGATTCATGGACTGAAATGGTTTTCTTGGCGCAAGAACTACCTTAACAGATTAGAATCTCTGTTTATCACAGTAGTTTCCTCATTGTTTTTACTCTTGTTTTCCTGTTGTATTCAATAGTTCTTCTTTCCTCTCTCCCATTGTTGTACTTCCTCCAAGGACAAGGACACCTTCATGTGCGCATTATATACACACCACCAGGTCAACTGCACTAATGAAACAGCAACCTCTGTATGCCCAAGTAACCCTACATTAAGTCACTTAATGACTTCCCAACAGCAGTCAGAATGTATTAAAACAAACATACACACCTACACCTACTAACCTGGCACACAAAATAATCCCTGGCTTAAGCTAGCACTAAAGCAATCAGAAGCAAGATGTAATGATGGGGTTTCAAAGAAGCCTCACTGTTTGGAAGTCTGTAGTTATCTGTGCACATGTGTATTTTAATTCACTGTATTAAAAGCAGAACTCTAACACTGAGGACCCATCAGTAGTCTGTTTTGCTGCAAACGACCATGAGGCCAATGCCATCCATAAACTTCCTAGGCAGAAGCACATGTGATGTTGCTTCAGTCAACGCAGCTCAATGCAGAATTTCTGAATAACCACGCTTCTCCGAAAAACAAAACTCCACTCTTGAACCGCAGAGTTTGATTACAAAGTAGATAAAGCAGAACAGTACAACACAGCAGGTGCCAAACCACATAAAACAAGATGGCAGCTTGAGGGGGGGGAGGGGGAGAGGGTTCTAATAAACATTTCAGACTGAAATAAAGTCCCCTAAAGAACTTCACTTGCTCACATATTGTGCCAGTATTACTTTAAATTCCATTTTCTACACCCAATACTTTTCCACTCTAAGCCCAATTCCAAATGCCCGTCTTGGAGAGTAAGACTTTGTTCCATCCAGTCAAGAACTTCCTAACAACTCCATTCTCCCAGAGCAACCACGGATCTCAAAACACACAAATGTAAGCAGTAAGGGAATGCAGCGCACATTTGGAAGGACTGACAGTCAACTCTTATCCTCTTCCCCTCAAATAACTGAACATAGATACTCATTGCAGAGTTAGGTCAGAGTTGAAAATACATGCTGTGTTTGCTCCTATTCTCCATATAGGAAAGGTTGCAATTCACTTTAAACACAGAATAACAGGGATAGCTAGAGAACAGACTTTAGCCTATTGACCTCCCCTACTCCGCGACAAGAATGCAAGTTAACCAGCCCAACACTGTTATCTGAAAATTTTAGTTGGCTACCAGTTCATCTACGTCTTCCCTTCTAAGCTTTAAGTCACTCTCACTGACTCAGCATTTAAGTCCAATACTCACCTGTTCCACTCCTACTGCCCTCCCACAGTCTTCATCAGTGTCTCCACTAAAATAAATGATTCATCTCTACAGCTGAAGAAGTAGCTGACACCAACTTTACGGTAAAGCTGAGGTTCAGAGCTAATAACCGCTGAAATTTGGGGAAATGTGGATTATCATCTAGGGTATATTTAATGAGAGGAAAGAAATGGAGAAACACATCAGTCATTTGGGTGTAAATATGAATGACTTTGTGTTTTACCATCTTATAACACTGGCGTTCTAAAAGTTCATGTTGGATGCTGCTTGCATTCATCTCTAGCGCTACCTTCCTTTCTAGTTTCTGTGTTGACTTATATAATATTTTTTATATAAAGCGTATATTTATAAAACATAAATAATGAATATTCCTCATCTTAGTGCCACAAATAGCTGTTCTGGGATACACTATTTAAAGCATGCAAGCACCCACAAACAAATTCACAGATGCAATAACTAGCAACACACAGGGTGTCCTACCCAGTCTGGCTCGTCCTACTTCAATTCACCCTAGCACGCAAGCTTTTCCAGCACTGTTGTAGGCAGTTACCAAACCACAGTACAAACGCAGTGCACTTTGCTGAAAGGGTGCTTCACCTCAACTTCCCGAACCCAGAAAAATGCTGCAGTAAAGATGCATCATTACAGGAAAGACAGATGGATCTTTCACGATGTCCTGCAAGTAATTACATCTATGCTCTTTAAGATTAGAAAAAGGATGGCAAGGTCAGTGTCAAAGAGAGCACAAAGCCCTTAAAATAAACAACCTCCCCCAACCCCAAACTGGGTAATGACTGCCAGCAGGGAAAAATCAAAAGACTATTAGATCAATTTCATCTGCAAGTATTCCTCCACTGAGATAAGGAGCAATAGGACTGCAAATAACTACCTGAAGCTAACGTAGCTTATTCAACACTGCTCATGGAGTACATAAAGGCAGCATAACATAAATCTTAAACTAATAAGTGTTCTGCAGGTTTTCAAGATAGTTTTGAGATGCAGAGCGTTCAACAGTAGCCAGAGACAGGTCACAAACCTTAAATGAATTATTTTTTTAAGTAATGATTTGCAGATCAATCCTCTTTCAGAAGCTCTACGCGTTCTTTCGACCAGGGAGAGGTAGGAGAGAAGTGTGTCCACTCCTGCATCATTCTCATGGTCAAACTGATAGTATTTCTTCTTTCTCCTCGTCACAGCCTGAATGTCCACGGTACATCTGATCATTCAGGTCTACGTGTATATCAAGGAAAGACAAGAAAGAGATGCAAAGCTCAATGTTATCAATTCTGTATCTAAACTGTAACGTACACGCCATTTAATCTTTGTTAGTTCAACTTCTTTTCAAACTTTCTAAATAACAGGATCAGGCTTAGTTATCACACACAGGCAGGCTCCTGTATATCTCAGCACTAGATGCCAAAAAAATTTAATTTGTCCAGGAATGTGTGCCAAATGAAAATATATCATTTCCCTTTCTTCCCTTTTACTTCATGCTGTTTTACCCTGTATTAGGACACAGCTTCTTCAATCCCTGCAGCCAGCCATCTCTAAGAACTGGCAGGCACAGACGGGGAAGACATCATTTGCTTGAAACAGAAAGGAGAAAGATGCATTCCCATACCACAGTTAATGTCCACAGTGAGTCTTGGCTACCCCTTTTTTTTTTTTTTTAATGTGCATGGTACTGCGTAACCAGTTCTACATAAAGTTAAATATTAAAAAAGGGAAAAAAAAATCCTATGTGGTTATTAAAGGAGTACTTCAGTTACAAAACTGATGTCAGAGCTCTATTTTTCCTAAAAGATATTTTCAACAGACTGACTGTCTGGGATATTTTTTCGGATAGTCCCCAGGGCAGAGGGGAAACCATGTTCCTATCAGAGATCATGTAGTGAGACATGATAAAGAATACAGGCCGTGCTTGGAGCCCTAGGAAAGCAGCCTGTCCAACCGGCGGAACCAGTCCTACATGCATCTTTAAAAACCTTTCCTCCTCAGTGTCATTGCTTTGATTTATTACTTTCTTCCCCTCCCCCAGTTATTTCTTTCTGACAACCCAGTCAGGCTGACTTAAAGGGATACTGACATAATAGCAATAGGACAGCATCAGATAAACCTTTTTCACAAAGCTCATCTTCTGTTTTATTCCCATCTTTCAGTTTTGCTATGCAAATGAAACATGCTGCTTTAGTGTTGTTACTGCTCAGGCACATTTCTGGATCTTCATCGCCTCCCACGCTGCTATCATGTTACCACAACTACAAGCGCATTAAGCACGTTCCAAAAACGTATTGTAAACTATTTCCTTTTCCTCACTTAAAAACAAAAAAAAAAACAACAATGCTGCTTTATAACAATAGTGTGAAAATATCAAACCAGGGTAATGTGTGCAGCAGAAGTACTAATAAAACAACAGAGGACAGCTCATTAATGTTTTTTTCTACCCAGAAAACATCTGAGTATTTATTTTAAGCCTTAAAGAAAACACGAGTCTCTCTGAAGTTACACCAAAAGCATACGAGAAGAAACTTGCTATTTATATAGAAAATGAGGTAAAATACGTTCTCAAACCGTGAAAACGTGTGAAGTAACATCAGACAGTTACGAACTTTGAAGGAAAACACTAAATACCTTCCCAGAAGTCACATTAACAACACTGCAGGAAACTCTTACGTACCACATGCACTGCACAGAAATAAATGATTTATTTTGATCTTTCCTTCTAACGCTTTGGCTTAGCTAGGTTTTTGCCTTCCAAAGATACGTTTCAAATACCACACAGCAGATTTGCTCATGCGACAGTGTAAGAGCAGGGCCCGGCGACACCTGACAGAAACGCACTGTCGTGCACCCGTCAGGGATTACTCCTTTAACCCCACAGGGAATCTTTTGCACCGAACTGAGCCAAACTGAACCTCTTTCCCCGCCCT